ATACTACGAAGTCTAGACACTAAAGAAATCCACTATTTAAAATTAAGTGTTTTGATAGAAGCAAATGAAAAAACAAAATGTCATAATAAAGCCAACTCCCTAGAAGCAAATAATTGTGGAAATACCTGATTGGTGCGAATTAAGAACAGATATAAAAAAACCTACGGATGCAAGTTCAAAAAGTTGGGAGTGAATCCTATTAAAATGAAATGCGGGAGTTTCTTCAAGTCGGCAGACAAGATAATCCTTTATAAGCTTTGAGTACCTATAAGAATTGATTTAAAGTAGATAATTAACCACTAATAAAAATAAAATTTAAAATTACGTGAGATATTACCTGTGACACCAGAGAAGGCGATGTTTAATATAACAGGCAGCTGTTGAGTCCATTTTAAAGCCCGAAATCCAAGGTTTAGTGGGATTTTCTTTGTTCGAATTTTCACCAGACGATGATATACCGATGCCATTTGCAAGTGGTTCCCATTTTTGTGAGAGCCACGAAAGAACTTTATCGAGCTCTCGGAAATAAAAGCCACAATCCGGATAATATTGATCTAGAAACTGGTTAAAAGAGTAATATGATAATAATAAATATGAATTACAATAATAATCAATTAGGAACTAACAGTTTGTGTCGATAATTTGTCTTTGGAAGACGGCCATAGGAGCAAAGGCAATCCGTGGGCTCTATATCGTTCTGCTTCTTCACTTAGGTTCTGAGGGAACTCACGGAGTTTCACCTTATTTTTAAACAGAACGAAATCAAATAGGTGGGAGGCCACTTTTTGCGTACACTTCAGTCGTCTATGTTCAGATATTCTGTGGAGATAAAGAAAAAAACGGCTTTGTCCTGACACAGCAAGTAATTCACCCTTAGATAGGGGCTGCATGACAAGGCCAATTGGGGCATTATTTAATTGAAAGGAAGGATAGAGAAGTGTTTGCCTCCTGCGTATATCAGAGAGATATAATCTAACGGCCTCTAAAGAAACATATAAAAGATTAAAAAGTTGTATTGCCTTCATCATTTTCATCTATGTTGTCGCCACCATAATAATTTGGGATGTCTTTACGAGAACTTTTTGCCTATAAGAATTATGGACAAGAAAGACGGTCTACCATGAGCGTGGAAAAATTATGACGCCGAATCAAATAATACACCCAACATACGTGTGCAAAAATATTCATTAAATTATATTTTAATTAAAAAGAAATAGGTTTTGCTTATTATATTTACATAAATTTGTTTTTATGTGCTTTGCCAAGCGCTAAGCGAACGGGCGTTCTATGTCTGGGCCGAGGCCCTATCACCGTTTTGCTGCCCCGAGTATTCTCTGTAAGAATAGCTGTGGATTTTATGGCAATCCCTCCTGGAATGATTACTGCTCTATATGTTATAGAGAAATTTATCTCAAGCAAGAACAACTATCTCAACCAAAATCTCCTGGGCTTAATTTGCCTTCCTCATCCACTCAAGCCTTCTCTAAGTTTGAAGAGAAAAGAAAACTAATAACAGGAAAGGGAGCTAATACAGTCAAAAACATTTTTAAGTTTTCTAAAGGTTAATAATCCGTTTTTTAAATTTCTGTAGATGCTTCTAGGACTAAAAGTGGCACAATCTCAGAGGAGTCCCTGGCAGCAAGAAGAGAATTCATTGATTTTGTCGAGAAACTAAAGCCTACAGTCAGTACAGATATACAGAGACAAGTATTTAGGCTACTTGGAAATTTTGAAGCAGCGTATGGTTCAAAGATAGATCAATATTCTCTCTGGACACAAAGTTTCTATACGGAGATTTCTCATCGATTTTCAAAAAATCCCATATATGCGGTAAGCTTTCTCAAATGCCCTTTTAAGGTCTGAGTTCTGTATAAACTATTTGCTCGGCATTTTTGTGTTAGAGCATATCTCCTGAGATGGCTGATAAATTGCTCTGTGCAATCGAGCGATTCATAACTACATGGATTTATCCTTGGGCATTCGCATCTCATATTACTGATGACGAGGCAGTCGATTTGAAACTTCAAGACAAAATCAGATCTCTTCACTGGGTTACCCCGGAATTACTTGATGCGCCTGTCAGCCCAAAATCCGCTGAGATGGTTCACTACGATGCCGCCATGCTAGGTGAAAAATATTTATCTTTTTTTTTTCATTTGTCTTCCTCATTTATGCTAGCATATGTGATTTTGTCTATTATACTGTTTAATTACTTTGCATTTATGATCTAGCTTGCCGCCTTACTGAAACTGATTCATGTAATTGTGCATGAAATAGTCTTAGGCGCCTACATTTTTCATTGAGTGCTTTCTGCATCAATCAACCGAACAATTGCAACATCTTACTCTTTGTTCTCCACAAATTAAATCTTTTATAATTGTGTTTTGGATTTGATTCGAAGAGAGTACAATAATAGTCTTATCTATGGTGCTTGGTTTCCATGTGAACTGACGTGTGCATTGCTGGGCATATAGTTGAGACAGTTCATCTTTCTTAGACTAATCGGGTATTCAACATTCTCTACAAGCCTTGATATTCATTCATCGACGGTTTGCAAGCCCTAGCTGTGTATCCAGCAGGTATTTGTTTTGAATTTCCAGCAAAATAAGGAACAATCGGCAAATCCATTGGATTAGCACTTGATCTGAACCATGGGGCCTGCTGTGTACAGCTCTCGGGAAAATATTTTGGCTTTTGGGTGCAAAAAATGGAAAATTTGGCGAATGGACTCTTAGCTGAAAACCCAGTCTAATCTAGTGTCTAGTCATTCATCTGGGGTCCTCGTTCTTCTTAAGGCCTTCTTGACTTGGTTGGACCGCAGTCTCGACCTCAGGTGTCATATCTTCAAACCAGGTCGTACGCTTAAAGTATCAATGTTACTCATTCTTCA